AGTCCCAGTGGAATCAATAGGATTACTCTCATGTTTAAGACTAGGTCTACACTACCCGCCTGAATCGGTGGGTAGAAATCGATCTCTTGGGGATCGAATTATCGCGTCTCATCGGGACGCGACAATCGATCCCCGAATCGACGCTCTTACTCCACCAGCGGAGGTGGGAGGAAGTGCCGTCGACGGGGAGCCGCGGAGGTCGATTTTGCCGCCGTCCTCACAGCGGGGTAAGTCGGCTCCGATACGTCGAATTCAGCTACGCTATTCGCATAGCTGAATTTGCGTATCTTAAATCGACCCCCCCCCTCCCCCCCGCGTAGTGAAGACCTGCCCTAAGTCAAGTCCCTGATCTGCTGATCCATACTGCTTCTGTGCCCTGTGGTTGTACAATTAACTGTAACTTCTCAGGTTTCTGGTTGTCCGAGTGGCCCTCAGCGTCGCTGAGTCTGGATGACCCTGCTTGGCAGAAAGGAGTCAGGGTTTCTGTAATGTGGGACAGAAGATGTGAAAGACTAAATCTGATTTTAAATGCTTCCACGAGACACCGAACATCTGTTACCCTGCTCGCACGGGCTTTCGAATGATGGTGCAAACTGGCCCCGTTCCAGTGCTTTCCAGCTGGGGATCTGGCCCTGTGTGATTTATGTCTGGAGAGGGGAGCTAGGATTTGAAATGGGGAAGTGGAGAAAGAGAAGAGCGTTCGGGGAACCCAGCAAAGGGCTTTGCCGGTTATAGAGCAAAAAGGAAGGAAAAAGAAGGATTATTACTGCAGCGTAGGAAGTGACCATTCATTTACAGCAGTGACTTTGAGGAAGAAAGAAAAGAGTAAAAGGGGAAGGTTGCTGGAGGCCGCATAGCTCAGCCTTAAGACTTCCAGGACTGGGCTGAAAGAATGCCTCGTGGGTGGAAAGCTCTCTCTGCAGCTAGAGGTCTCTTGGCACAGAAGTGAAGCCTAGCTAGCATCTCTCAAAGTTGTTCCTCCCCTCCAGATCAGTAATTAAGGGGAATCTTTATTGAGGAATTCGGCCCAGAGTCTGGGTGGGGAGGACTGAAGCTCTGCACTGGCTTTTTCTCGCTCTAATTAATTTATATGCTGCACAGTGCGGTCTTTTTCTATCTCCGAAATATGACACCTCTTCCTCAGCCATCCGCTGGAGCCTCTCGCACTCCCACCAGAGTGGCCATCTGGTGCAGGAAAATTCTGGAAGTCACATAAGATGAGTGTGAACAGTTTGCTGACTGTCTTTGGAAGGTGGCGTGAAAATGAATTCCTGCCTTGTTTGGTTTGAGATCCTCGGTCCTTGGAGAGAATTCAGGCTGGAATAGCTGCCCAGTAGTGGGCTCCTGTAAATTATTCAGTTAATTTACGTCTTCAGCTCTCACAGCAGGGGCTGGAATTTAAAGTCTCTCTGCCAGCCCCCAGCCTGATATGTCACATTTGCATCCCTTCTCACCAGCAGGCTGATTCCCATTTTCTAGGAAAGCCCGAGCTCCTGGCTCCCTAGCACAGGAGGCTGTCCTGGTGCGCTGCACGCTGTCACATGACTGGAGACTTGCCGGCTTTAGCGTAGTCCCTGGGGGACTGCATACTTTCCTACGCTGTTTACATCTTCTGACTCCACAGAACAAACAAAGCAGGAGTGTAATTAGGGCCCTAACTATGCTGGCTAAATAACTGAGTTTAAAAACATCATTCAAATTCCTCTATAGCTTTGTCCATCGGTCTGGCCATCCATCTGGCTCATGCTCAACACTGTGGTACCTAAATGACTAACAAATAGCCCAGAAGGGCACTGTGGAGCTCGAAAGCTTGTATCTTTCACCAACAGAAGATGGTTCAATGAAAGATATTATCTCACTCAGCTTCTCTCTAACAAAATATGCTTAAATCCAACTTGATGGTCTCTTATTGACCTGTAATCTCTCTTCATATTGTTCTGGTGGGAATAAAGGATCTCATGGACTTCTGGTTAAAACCCCTTCTCTCCTTCAGCTAGGAATCCCAAACTTACCTCTACCCTCGCTCCCCCTGCCCCAGATCTCTCTCTGCAACTGTACTATAGTTTCATCCATATCCCAAGGACTCCGACAGATAATTGCTATGGGTTAGTATCAGCCCTTCACCATTTTCATAAGAACATAAGAACAGTCATACTGGGTCAGACCAAAGGTCCATTTAGCCCAGTATCCGGTCTTCCGACAGTGGCCAATGTCAGGTGCCCCAGAGGGAATGAACAGAACAGGTAATCATCAAGTGATCCATCCCATCGCCCATTCCCAGCTTCTGGCAAACAGAGGTTAGGGACACCGTCCCTGCCCATCCCGGCTAAAGCCATTTTATGCTCAGTGGTCTACCAGATCCATCCAGAGATCCTGCTTTTCTCATGCATCCAGAGGCATCGGGCTCTGTGTGCCCAGGAAATCTATCCGGATGCATTGGGAAGGCACATCAGGTACATCCATTAGGAAATTCACTCCTCCAGTGTCACTGGATAAGCCTGCTAGATCCAAGAAAATGCTCCTCCAGTGGAATCAGTTATTCTTGGAATTTTCCAATGTCCCATTCAAATGGCATGGGATCCTGTTTAAACACTGCTGCCAGGACCCATGCACATTCCTAGCCAGGTGAAAGTGTTAACATGAAGACCTGCCAAAAAGTAGAGCATTCAGTTACATCAAAAAAATCCTGGGTCCAATCCTAAAAGTTTTACTCCATTTTTACTTAGACAAAGCTCTTATCGAAGTCAATGGGAGTTTTGCCGGCATACGGATGTGCAAAAACTGAAAAAGTACTTCAGAATTTGGCCTCATATTTTAAGAAACTGGAAACCAAAAAAATCAAGAGCAGTAGGGAGAGAATGTTGGATGGAGACTGTGACAGAATAAATCCACATTATATATAGTAGACATCTGGAATACAGATCCGGAACACAATAGAAAATCAGAGGCGCTTCCAAGAGAAAAATAACAGCTACCTGGCCAAATGCTGCAGTTCCTTAC